CGGGGATGACGAGGGGAGTCAGGGCCATCAATGGGCGAGACGTCGCCGCCTCGACAATTTTATTGTTTAAATTTGGGCGCCACTATGTTACGAACTGCTAATTTTCCCTTTGGCAGTGCCGCTAGCTCAGTTTTCCCTCAGGGCGGAGTCCCCCTAATGCCACAGCTCGCAACATAAATATCGACAACTACGCAGTCTCACATCACTAAACTATCGGTCATCACTACATATAAAACGTAAACAAAGGCAAATTACTACAAGTGACGGGAAATTTTAATTGTTTTGGTGGCTATTGATGACCTAGCCAAGCACGCCCACCCAACCAAGGATGCCCCGGAGGATTCCGCAGAGGCATCACCCATTCTTGGTCAGCCGGAGTCACTCCTCGCGCCTACGACAGCTCCATCTCCCCCACAGTGACGACTTACTCACACATTTCGGTCTTCAATTACATTTAATATCGGGCAGTACAAGTGTTCAAGTTTAACATCATTATTGTTGTTCTTGCATTAATTCATTTATCTTTCTTCAGCCTTTAATATCACAGTTGGCCGCCGTTTCAAAACTTAGGCGGTCAAAGCAGAGGAACTTGCTTCCCTGGGAAAAGTCTGCAGGCGCCGCGTAAAATATGTTCCACCAGTCATGTATTGGTGGAACTCACAGTAATTCGAGGCGCAAACAAGGACACTATTCGTGTGTCGGGTCACCTAATCCTGAGGAGCTCCTGGGGAAAAGAAGGGACAGGCCAAATATGTAAGTTCGCGCTGCAAAACTTCCCCGCCGAAAACTAAAACTCGCGACCTCTCTTACAGACAACAACGAGGACCAACCACGGCTTTCGGGTCTAAATCCGGATAAATTTACAAAGGAACACGGGAAGTATTTAGATTAATATTAACAAAGATTATACTCATATGACTAATTATTATAATTTTTCGCCACTTCTAGGCTAGATAAAGGGCGATATTATACCCCGGACGAGGGCTATTCCGCTGGAGGCCAGCGGCCGTTAAAGCCTGGAAAGCCCCGAGGAATGGTGATGGCTTATAAAATGGCGCGGCCGTTCACCGCCGCGCAAATTGACGCCGGTTGGACCCGAAGGCGAGAGGGACTGATACCCCGGAACGGACTCACCGGGGAGATCGGCTGCCTGGCTTGTGGACGGCGGTAAATCGAGGAAGGCAGGGTAGGAGTCCACTAGGTCCAAGTTTCCTCCAAACGGCTTCAGGGATCATCACCACCTCAGGCTCTCGGATCCGCTTCAAGGTGTGTATGGGTTGTAGGAGAATTTCCAAACCTCACCTCCAAAATGAATTTCCAAAGTAAATCTCCTGGGATAAATCTTCCGGGGCCCGTGGTGTTGGGACCCCGGTTGCCCTACAGACAATTATTTGTTAATACCGTACACTAATAAACCTAACCCGCTAACACTCACTTTTTTCTGTTTTTTTTGCACAAACACTTGTTCAAATAACTCCCGCTGCGTCCAGCTTCTGGGACAATATGGCTGCGACTATTCTAATCTGCCTATCATCATGGCGGTATTGCCATATTCCCTTGCCTCTCCCAAAACTGGGTCATCGGACGGATTCAAGGCCACGGGAGAGTAGTCCCTGAGCGAACCGGGATTACTCCAAATGGCCAGATCGTCCTCCAGATTCCCCACAGGGGGGCGCCACCAAAACCATCACCTTATCGTCCGGACCTATCGATAAAATCTATCTGACAATCGACTCCAACTGCAACAAAGTATATTTCGGCCAAAGAGACGTTTGAAAAAATACAATTGTATTTTTCCCAAATAGCTTTCAATCCACTGATTTATTAACTTTTTCAAAGCATATATGATTAGCTTCCATTACTTATTACTTCTTTTTTAAAAGCAATGTTAACAAGAACGGCAATTTGTGGCTTTTCTTTGAACAAAATACTGAACATTTCCATCTAACGCCAAGCACAAAGGACACAATCCGTAGAGCTTACTGTTGCTAGGCAACCTTTAACATTTTCAGGAACCACAGCAGAAAAAAAACTAAACAGTGTCGAAAAAATGTTCAAGTCGATGGCTCCGATTGAAGGAAACCAACAGCCTCAGCTGCAGTTGCTCTGGGAAGACAAGGAAGTCAAATTTGATGTCCCCCAATTGTAAGTTAATGAGTGAGCTAGAGGATTCAACAGGCTCAATCTACTGTAATCCTTTCAGGCACAAAAACCTACGTAGCGGAGAACAAGTACTGGATTACATTTATCATATCGAAGACAGCAAGGGGAATCCAGGTGACACGGGACGTCTGATGGTCACAAATCTTCGAATTATTTGGCACTCGCTGGTCCACAAGAAATACAATCTGTGTAGGTCCTAAGCTGGGTCAGGGTTACCCTAGCTAACCACAATGAAAACTTGATTTCCTCTTTTAGCCATTGGCTATGCCCGGATTGGTAACACCAACACTCGAATAGTGCACATGCACTCGAAGGCAAGGATAGCCAGCCAGGCACTCTACATCCTGGCAATTAGTAATGAGACCCGCTTTGAGTTTCTTTTTACCGACGTATCCGGCGAAACGTCGCGACGGGATCAGCCCATCTTCGCCAGCGTCTTTGATGTGTATCAGTAAGGATTATCGGAAGCTGAATTTTTAGGATATCTGTAAAATCAGAATTATTTCAGTTTATATCAGCGTACCTATCTCTACCGCGACCTGAAGCTGCGCGGAGCCATCGTTCAAGCTGGTCAATTGGTTATTCTACCGGATGAGCAGGTGTACAGCCAGGTACAGGGTGTCTGGAATTTGTCGAGCGACCAGGGCAACCTCGGCAGCTTTGTGGTGTCTAACATTCGGTTAGTGTGGTTTGCAGACGCCAATGAGACATTCAACATCAGTTTGCCGTATCTACAAATTGAAAGTGTAAGCTAAATAAAACACGATATTTTTGAAGATTATGACAAAATCCATTAAGCCATATAAAATTACAATTTATTTGTCAACTGTATGATGGGACGGTGGTAAAATTATGAGATTGACATATATGCATAATGTCAGTCAGTAATTGAGTTTTACCATATTTCAGCTTAAGCATTAAAGGATTGTGCACGTTGGAAATACTTGGAGTAGTTCTTGCCCAAAACAAAATTTATGAAAATAATTTTTAATGCCTCGTACACCTATACAAATTTATTAAGTTGCACGTTCTTTCTCCAAATCGTTCCCGAGATTTATAGTTTTCACACAATTTTAGAAGTTCTTAACTTAAATGGACTTTAAAAAATAAAATAAAAACATTGTCAAACATAGAATCCCGAGTCTAAAGAACATCTATTTTTTCATATCCGCAGTTGAAAAATTCTTGCCCAATTTAAAAATCTTTTGATAGGGACTCTGAAAAAATATTATTCTATTAACAAAATTTTACCAACTTATCTAATTATAGCTTCGCATCCGAGAATCTAAATACGGACCTGCCTTGGTCATTCAAACAGCAGAAACGGGAGGTGGATACGTACTCGGCTTTCGCATCGATCCCGCCGAGCGACTAAACGAGCTGTTCAAGGAGCTCTGCTCGCTGCACTCTATCTATGGCGAACAGCCCAACTTTGGTATTCAATACAACGTCCAGGATGCCCGGGACCGATTGGCAGCGGCTGCCGAGGAAGCGGCCCAGTCGTCGCAGTTTAAGGTCGATAACTTTGAGGAGCTGGACGAGAGGCAGGAGCGCGAGATCAACACCAAACTAAATAGCTACCTCGCCGAAGGCTGTTTGGGAAAGGTTCCAAATGGGTCTAGCCACGGGGAAAGGGATCCAGTCTACTGCAAGGAGCTGGGGTTCGCCATGGAGCAAATTAGAGACGGATACAAATTACAGGATCTGTGGAACGTTATGCCCACCAAAATGGAAACAATGGAATGAATTTATTAAGTTTACAAAATTATATAAATAACACTGGGCAACAGTATGAATGCTTTTTAAATTTACCTAGATGGATGGCTATATTTTTACATTCGTTACCGATTCCCACACAAGGACCTAAAAAGTTTGAAAAATGCTAAAATTGGCCAAATTTCCGGAGGTCTCAGAGGGAAACGGATGCATGGTTTGTTTTGATTTTAGAGTTTTTTAAAAGATACGCTCTTTATCTTTCAAGCCCCATACTTAGAATAATTTTGGGATTTTTTTAAAGGGAGAAACAAAGTCCAGAAAAGATAGTCAAAAAACATAAAAGTATACAGCTGCGGTCAAAATAGTAGTAGTGTTGTTCTAACGCCCACAATCGGTTTTAAAATGTGTCTGGCGCCCACACCTTTAAAGATTTCCTAGAAGTATAAATGCAATTTTGTTGTGTATATTTATACCTATCGAAATGTGGAAGACATTTTTGAAATCGGACCATTCATTAAAAAGTTATATGCAATCATAATTATATATACCCATCTCCCTCGCACTCCCTTTAGCTGAGTGACAGGTATTAGATAGTCGGGACACCCACCCGACTATAGCGTTCTCTCTTGTTTACCCTGAAGTCTCGCCTGTCAGTTTGAACGCTAAGATCTCCGAGGCAATTAAAAGCAGATTCTTGCCGTCTACATCTTTCCAGATTTTGTAAAGGAATGCCATTTTGTTGTGTTTATTAATAGGTACAAATTGAATCGTAAAATAATTTTTTATAATGGACCATTCATTCAATTTAAAATGCACTTACCGATTGATAGCGGCACTTTCCAGCGCCTATTTCTTTTGCTGCTTGCACGTCTAAATCTATTCAAACTTATTTAGTTGAGGTACTCCACAATGGAATTCTCTCTTTTGTGTTTCTAGCTGTAATATATATTACCATATATGCTTTTTATAAATTAATCCCAGAAAACCAACGAAAGAATGTTTGATGCTAGCTGCAATCCCACCCTTGCAACTATAGCACCAGCTGATTAAATCCTTTTTTTTTTAAGTTGAGCAATTAATAGTTTGTATTTCGGAAAATGCGATTAACAATGCTTCATTGATTAAACTATAAATTTCTCGGCCAGATTTACTTAAAGTTTTAGAGCTTGCCATATGTACACGAGTAATATGTTTAAACGCGCTTCGTGGGCGTGTTTTAATGCTTAAATATAACTATGAACTAGGCGGTAACTTAGTGCGATGAGAGAAACGTAGTCTGTCTATAGCCGGTGGTAGCTTTCTTTTATTCTCTTCATTCCATTCTCTTAATGGCTTAAATTTGGTCCAATCTTGGGTTTACTTCAGCAAGTAGTCCATCTCGGACTTCGTGGTGGACATGTACTGATCCAGCTCCATGTCCAGATCCTCGCGCTTCACCTCCGTGCGCTGTGGCTTGCCTAATGGGGAGAGAAACAAACATTCTAGTTAGGAATTCAAAGGGAAGTGAGAGTGGAAGAATTGTAAATTTTGTGTTTTCAAGTGCCGATGCCCAGATCCAGTCCGGTTGTTCTCCTGGCCACTTGTCTCGCTTTTACCTGTAGGCTTACGACTACGACTGCGTCCCCGGCGAGCCTGTTGCTGCGTGGCCTGTTTGCCAGCGTTTGCCGCCTTGCCCTTGCCGGTTTTGTTGGTTTTACCATTTCTGTTGTTGTTGTTGTTGCTAGTGTTATTGCCCTTGGCAGCGCCCGCACTGCGTCCACGTCGCTGGCGAGGATTGCCCCGGCCCTGAGCGGTAGCGGTGGCAGCGGCAGCAGCGACGGCGGCGGCGCGATTGCGTGACCGTGAGCGACGCGCGGGAGCAGAATTGTTGGCAGCCCCACCGCCAGCAGCAGCGTTCCTTGCAGCAGATCTGCAATAAAAGGTGATAATGAGTATCATGCTTAAAGGAAAACTAAAGTACTAAACATACCTTCCGCGTGGTCGTCCCTGGCGTCCGGCGAGAGCGGCGGAGACTCCCTTCTTTTGGGAAGCCTGGCCGTTACGACGCTTCTCCACCCTGCCGCCAGCCACGCCTCTCAGTTGGCTCGATGCCCGGCGCTGACGCGGGTTCTTGGCCTTGTTGTTGGCCTGGTTGTTTCCCTGGCCGGCACGCACGCCCAGACGATGCTTGACCGACAGGCGCTGTTTCACCGGAACGCGTCCCTGGGCGGAGCGATCGCGATTGCGGCTCTGGGAACGCCCTACGCTGCGTCCGCGGCTCTGGGAACGACCTCTGTCGGCGCGCTGTGGCTGCGGTTGTGGGTGACGCGAACGGGATCGCGAGCGGGAACGCCCGCGTGGGACTTGTTGCTGCTGCTGCTGTCGCTGACGGCGCTCAACGCGCTCGGCGGCACCGCCCACCGAGGGACGACGCTGTCCCAGCCGCTGACGAAGACCACCGACACCTCCTCCACCTCCGTTGGAGGCGGGGAATCGGCGTGTGCTGCTGCCGCTGCGGCGATTGCGGGCTGCGTTGCCACTGGCCACCAAATCGGCACGCATCCTGGGCGATTAACGAAGAAGTACAGAGATGTTGCAGTGGATTGGGAATAGTGGAGCGCGATTATAGACGAGATGCTTACGTTGCTACCCGGGTCACGTTGTTGGACCGCATGGGCTTTCCGTTGGGCGCCAGGCGCAGCGACTTGACGCCGCCGACACGGGCTCCGCGTCCGCTCACGCCGCTGGTCCGTAAGCTTCTCTGTAAGGAGGCATAAGGTTGTGTGGAAGTTTTGGTTTCAGTACGCTGCTGCACAGTGTTGGAGTTCAAGTGTTTCAGGGGAGCTAGAGAGCTAGAGATAGAAGGTCGGAGAGGCTGGAGGATGTTCTGGGACCACGCAGAAGGCGCTCTTTGCTCGACAGCAGGGTCCGACTCCATCTCCTCCGGCTAATCCCAGCCACTGACGACAGACATCGACCTGCTCCACGGATCAGGTCGGTTTCCGCTGCTGGACTGCAATATTCGGTTTTTGGGATACACGTACGCGCTTCAGTTTGAGGGCCGTCTGGACGGTGTGGCGCCGCTTGAACTCCTGCAGCAGGCGGGAGTTGGCCGCCGACACTCCGGGGTTCCCGGCGCCGCTGTCCACGATCCGGCGGCTCCTGCTCCTCGAGCGGCTGCGACCGCGTCCCTGCGGCGCCTGGTGCGACTGCATTTGCGTGAAGCGCTCATTTAGCGAGATTCCGGTGTTCATTTTGCGTCTAGTTCTGCTTCTTTACGTTGATGATCCTTTAAATCTGTGCTGTGCGTTTTCAATGCTTTCCGCTTGACACTTGAACGATACCGCGACTGTATTCCTGCGCTGAAAACTGGTTTGCAACTGAAATGACAAGGGAAAACGCAATGAGTTTTGTAGGCAAGCAGGTAGGAGGAGAGGGAGGGGTGGCCCAAGGACAGGTAGCGCCAGCTGACACCCATAAACGCTAAGCTCATGCAACCGTTTCCAAATCCATCAATAAATCTGCAGCTGCTCGCAGGAAAGTGCACTTTCCTAACCTAACCTTGAGCACCCCTGAGCACAGCCGTGGTCATAGTTACTCGAAAATGTTATTAAATTTATTTTACTCCTTTTTACATGTATTAAATAATATTTCTTCTTCAACAAAAGTATGGAAATTAAAAACTAAATAGCTCAGACCAATATAATTTGAATTCGGGACTATCAAAATATTGTAGAATTATTTATTTATATTTATTTTACTCTTTTTTAAATGTAATAAATAATATTTGTTCTTTAAATAACAAGAGTATGGAAAATAATAACTAAATAGCTCAGAACAATATAATTTGAATTCGGGACTATTAAAATTATGTAGAAATAGGTGAGTAAATTAAAATGTTGATAAAAATTAGGTTTAAAATATGGAAGTAATAAAAACAGCTTATGTATAGATAAACGCAACGAAGCATTATTCGATTAAGAAGCCCATTTGGAAAACCTTCTTATGTGGTTCTAATATTTCAACGGCAGCTGTAATTGTATGTACATACATACATATGTACATACGCGCATTTTGGCGTCGCATTCAAGCAGACCTCACTGTAATCTAATTATAGTCTCCACAAGAACATCAAATTATTGCTGTGGGAGGCTGAATCACTCGTCAAAAATGGGGCCATATTTATTTATACGCACTTTAATTACATAAACGAAATTAAGTCTTAATTTCTACTTACATTTCTGACGCTATTTGCGTCGCGCTTATTCTCCTTGGCCTGAACAGACGCTTGGGGGTATTTTCCAGTTTATTTTCTTGCGCAGAAAGTGGTCTTCACAGTTCAATTGCTCTTTTAGTTTTGATTTGTTCTTTGAGTATTGTGTTTTCAGTGGTTTATTTTCAATGAGATATGTTTTTCCAGGAGAAATTACAGTTTTTCCTCGCAGTTTTTCTGGCTGACAAAGAAATCAGGCATGGGTGATTCTCACTAGGGCGATTGTGTTGGTTTGTGGAAAATACTAAATTGAATGCGAAATCGGGTAGAGGTATTCCGAAGAACACTTTAATGAATGATTTCCACTACACGGTATTTTTATAATATTTCGATAAGTAAGGCTTAGTACTCAACCCAACAAAAAGTTGTCCAAAACAAAAAACTTCATATGAAAAACAACGTCAAAAAATTTTGTTTCATATGAAGTTTTTGTTTTGGACGACTTTTTGTTGGGTTGAGTACTAGCCCTAAGTCAAGAGTTTTTTGGCCATAAATATATACATGTGTATTTATGTTACAAAACAAACAATTAAGACTTGTACCCACGTTAGCTTGCGGTTTTTGTCGATGTTATTACTAGGCTCTATAATTTAAGTCTACTTCACATTAGACATAGATGGGGGACCCTAAAATAGAGATCTCACGGTATCACAATGGACCCACAGAGGTCTAAGTGTGCTAGGCTGTAGTCTGGCAGCCGTCCTTACCTAACCTAACCTAATCTAGACATAGAAATTAAAAGCGACATTTTGGGATACAAACGCACATCAAAACTGCTCATGAATCGAATTGACTATACAAACTCACTGCAAAGTGCATTAAATCGACTCTGTTTGCAATTGCGCATTAAGGGCATTATCATTAATTTTTCCAATTAAAAGAAATTAAATTAGTACATATTCATTACCGAATTGTTTCGTTTCTTAGGGCTAGTACTCAACCCAACAAAAAGTCGTCCAAATCAAAAACTTCTTATGGCTGATTTTTTTGTATTTGGAGACAGAGTTAAAATTATTTACATTAAAAAATATTACAATTTCTTTATTAATGAATAATTTGATACACACTGGAAACACCCGCGATACCTATCGATAAAATCATAAATGCAACAATCGGTAAAAGTTGGGCTCTAGTGGAAACAACATATTTACACAGAAATAGTATTAAGCTGGTTACATACTAAATGGCAGTATTTAATGCAAAAAAGTCGCTAGCTGGCAACCCTCTCAGCGCAGAAGTAGGGTTGTCGCCGGCCATCAGCAATCCAAATGAACTCCTACGGTTTGTAGACAGAATTAAAACCTGAATTTAACTGCTTTTCCACAAGAAATCACAAACACAGAAGAAGCGACAGCCCACCGCCCGTGCCCAGAAACCTGGTCGACTTTTTTTCGAGCCCTGAGTTTTCCTTTGACCAGAACTTTCGTTCGCTGCCCCTGCCTCAGTCATTGCCGCGCGTCCCATTCATTTTGTTGTTGCCTTGGCAGTGCATATTATTATTATTTGTGTGTTATTGTTTACCGTGACTTTTCGTTTCCAATTCGATGGTGCACCAGAACACACAGCTCAGCCACATCCACATAGCACACTGAAAGAAAACCAAGAAACCCAACCCGACACCGAAACTGAATAGACGCAAGTACCGAACCAACGAGACCCTTTCCAAAGACAAGTCCAAAATGGCCAAAATGTACGGAAAGGGTAAGAGTAAGTAAACGCCAATCCACACGCACTTAAGCATTGCAACCTAACACCTACTGACACCGCTTGGCATGCCGAATCCTCTAAGAACTACCGAGTAGTGAGCTCTTTTTTTTCGGGACTAATGCTCTCCGTATATATTCCTTAGCTGCGATCGAGTCGGAGGAGCAGCAGAAGCGACGCTGGCAGATCGAGCTGGAGTTCGTGCAGTGCCTGTCCAACCCCAACTATCTCAACTGTACGTATCAACCAAACATATTACCAATATTATCCTGACCAAGTAAAATTGTATAGTTATACCTGTCCGTCCGTATGAACGCTGAGATCTCGGAAACAAAAGCTAGAAGGTTGAGATTTCCCAAACATATTCTTGGGTTTCCTACGCAGCGCAAGTTTATTTCAGCCGAGCGCCACGCCCCCTATAACGCCCACAATCGCCCATACATATCGAAATGTAGAAGACATTTTTCAAATCGGACAATTCATTAAAAAGTTATACGTAATCAAAAAAATTGTATATGTCCATCTCCCTCGCACTCCCTTTAGCCGAGTGACGGGTATTAGATAGTCGGGACACCAACCCGACTATAGCGTTCTCTCTTGTTTTTGTTAAGACAAGTAACTAAACTCGATAATAACTGCACATTATTTTCAAACAATACGCATCTAATCAAAAAATCCATTCTGCCAGTCCTCGCCCAGCGGGGATTTTTCAAGGACCAGTCGTTCATCAACTACCTGAAGTATCTGCAGTACTGGAAGGAGCCGGATTATGCCAAATACCTCATGTACCCAATGTGCCTCTACTTCCTCGACTTGCTTCAGTACGAGCACTTCCGCCGCGAGATCGTCAATTCGCAGTGCTGCAAGTTCATAGACGACCAGGCCATTCTCCAGTGGCAGCACTACACTCGCAAGCGGATTAAATTGATAGAGAACGTGACGGCCGCCCAGCAGCAGCAACAGCAGCTGCAGCAGCAACAACAACAGCAGGCAAACGGCGTCGAGGCTGCAACGGGAGGCGAGGCAGCGGCAGCCACACCCAACGTGAACGGAGCAGCGGCCACAGCGGACTGCCAACCGACGGCCACTGCACTGCAGCCTGTCCAGGCTCAGGCGGGAAATCCCCAGCAGCAGCAGCAGCAACAAATCAATGGCCTTGCAACAGGGGCCAATATCAAACTAGAGTTAAACTAGCGCCGGCAACTAAAAGTTTACGAATAAAGTAGTTTAAGAACCTGAAATCGATTACTTTTAATATAGATATTCCTATTGGAAGGTTAACATTTTAAATTACTTCTTATCGGTTCGGTTAAGCTGTCGCCTCCTGCTGTGTTTTTTTTCTCGGTTTCAGACTTAAAAGATAGTACATTAATCATTATATTCACAAATTCACAGCTACACAGGATGCAGTTTCAGAGCAGGAGGAAGCCGTCGCCCGCAAAGGCCACTTCTACGGCGTCTATTTGCTATGCAGCCAGAGTTTGGATTCTCGATACCGGGGAAAGTGCTACGTGGGTTTCACAGTGAACCCAAAGCGCCGGATTCGACAGCATAATCTTGGATGCGACTTTGGAGGCGCCAGAAAAACCAGCCGCAAGGGGCCCTGGCAAATGGTGATGATCGTACACGGATTTCCGAATAACATTGTGGCACTGCAGTTCGAGTGGGCTTGGCAACAGCCCTCGCTGTCCACTAGACTCAAGATGTACCCAGAACTAAAACGCAAACTGCCCAGAGAGACGTACTTTGACTACAACTTCAGGATTCTGAGTAGGATGCTGGGCGTTGGGCCTTGGCATCGATTGCCACTCACCGTTCGCTGGTTGGAAACGGATTATGAGAGGTCATTTGAGGTGCCCCTTCCTAGCCACATGGAGATTGTGAGTGGTAAGGTTTCCATTAGTGCCTCACAACGTGTGAGAGCTGACGGAGCTGAAGCTCCTCCACCTGTGGCTTGGGCGCCTGAGTGTCATCTGTGTATGCAGCAAATCGACCAGCCAGAAAGATCCCGCCTGGGATGTACAAATCCAACCTGTCGGCTCACCTGCCACATGCTGTGCTTGGCCAATTATCTACTGGGCGATGAGCCAGGTCACTATATCCCAGTTGGAGGAGAGTGCCCGCTTTGCGAGACCCGTCTCACCTGGGCAGCCCTACTGCAGCGCAAACGTCTCTTGCTGGGCGTTCCCGAGGAGCTGCAGGAGCAGGATGACGATCTCAGCGACGAACTCGATGTGGACAGCGATGTTGAAGATGTGCCTGTGCTAAGCGATTGAGAAAGCTGTTTGTCCCAACTATTTAAGTTTTTGTAAAATAAATTTCCCAGAGTATGCACTTTATATAATTTTTTGATGTTCAATTGGATCTTAATAATGTTTAATGTGCACTTTTCATAATAGGATATTATGACTAAATTCTGATGCTTATATGTTTAAAGTACATTTAGTGATTTTTTTTCGCGTTGGCTCTTTGTCCCATTTTTATAGAATTTGGCTCTTTTTTGCTAATAGCGATAAAAAATATTTAAAACTTAAAAAAACAAATTAAATTAAATTAAGGCATTTTTTTTTGCAATTTTAAAAGTGATTAATGTCTGAAACCCAAAAGTGCCAGATTGAAACTAAATTGTTCCGCTGGTATGGTAATTTGGTATATGGTAAAAATTTGGATCTCTTTTATTCAAATTGGCTCATTTTTAATCTTTTTTTTTTCTCCTAAAAAATTTTTGAAGTGGCAACCGTGGGTTTAATAACCAATTCCGTTGAAATATAAATGTTCATACAAAACTTTTAGAATTAATATTGCATGTTTTGCAACCATTACGTCGAGTTTAGCTTGCAAAAAATATTAGACTTACAAAATATATTATTTTATAGCTTCGCCATAACGTCCGGTGAATATCCAATATAAAATCCAGCCAGGAATTAAGCGGAAAAATTAACATAATTGATTAAGTCATAGATCCAGCTGGGAGACCTGTGCCTTGATACTCCTTAAAGCGTTCTTGTAGTTTTTAAGAAGTTCCGCCATCATTTTCTTCTCATTCAAATAATACTCCATAGACATTTGTACGTACTCCTGGCCCTTGAAACTGAAGACGGACACTTCGGAAGTATCAATAATACTAGGCTCTTCGCTAACAGCCTCTTCAGTTGGTTTGGGATCCGCTTTAGGAGTTTCCTTCACAGAAAGGCTAATCGTCGATGTCGATTCTCTTGGGCGCTTGGCGGCGATAGCCTCGAGGTCGATTTCAACTAAGAATGGTTAAAACATTATATATTTAAAGAATTCTCTTTTCCTGAACCGATTTATAGTACTTACTTTCTTTTTCAGATGACTTCGTCTTGGAAGTGGTGTCCACATTGTTTATGCTCAGTTCATCGTCGCTCAGATTTATAAAGTAGCTCTCCTGGGACGTTGATGCCACCTGTTGGGGCTCCTCCTCCGGATCTGGATCCTTCTCCTCGTACGGATACGGCACCGCCTCGCCCACAAGGAGCGTTCGGTTTTTACCGGAGGATATGAACCTGCGGTCGAAGTGACTGGAGCACATAAATAGCTGGTTTTGGGGAATCTTGGGATGCACTTGTCCATTTTCGTGCCAGATTCGAGCCCTTTCCGGTTGTTTGGGAAAGGCAAAAAGGGTTCTTCCCTTCGACTGCATGCTGTCGTGGAGAGCATAGTAATATTCGCAATCCTTGTACGCGCAAGTCCTCGTAACCATTTTATTTATTTATCTTTGTTGTTGCTTTGGCGTCGTTTTTAGTGATGGGCAAACAGGGTAAAAATACTCGCGTGAGCATACTGATAGTATTTTAGTGTTTATCGCATTAGGGTAATTCCTAATCTGTGGAATTGCAGAAACGTTGAATTTGGATATGGTAGTTGTTTTTATATTTGTAAGAAAAGTAGAGCTAAGTCACATCGACAAAATAGAGGCCAATAAGTGGCGTTTACTCTCCCTTGAACCCGATTGAAATTTAGCTGATTAATGGAATAGATGAGTAATACTACTAAATATATCATATATCAAATATATCATATATCATTTAAAAATACTTCGAGCACAACTTCTTATGTTATTTAAAACTATTTTACTAATTTTTAGTCATTTGACTCCTGAAAATCCATTTTTTTAAAGCCGAGTTTCATAGATTTTCTTGGAACTTTTGGATACAACATTTTTTTTTTTGCCGAAATTAGATTCAGGGTATTCTCTAAACTGTTAAATTGCTGAATTGTTGAAAATTCAACAGAAAATTTCAGCCATTAAGGGAACGACCCAAAATGGTTCCTGTTGAATTTTCATCACGGAACTTTAAACATTTAAAATTTGTTTTATTATTGCTAGTTACTGTCTAAAATTGTTACCAAGGTAAAAAGAACCACAAATATGCTTTCTAATTTGATTTTGAAATAAATTTTGAAACAATTCAGCAATTCAACAGTTTAGGAAATGCCCAGATTATGTTTAAAACTAAATTAAATTTTTTAGAAATTTCCCCAATTTAACAGAAAGTATGGCTTTTAATTAATATTTCGGTTAATCCTTATCTATTTTAATTATCGATAATACACATAAGCCAGCGGTAATTTATTATTTATCAATATAACGTATTTTTACGCTTCTTTTTAATGATCATGATCGTAAGAAATTCATCAGTGATCATGTTCTTAAGCTGAACGCGTGTGTTTATTGTAAAACAAAGTCAAAGAATCCCAACGATCTGGCAGGTCCAAGTAATCTGATCCAAGAAACGGTAAAAAAAAAACTTGCAATTCTTGCATTTTATTTATTTTCAGTTAGTCATTAGTTGTGAGTTATGTTTGTGCGGGCCAAGAATGGAATAGATAGTATGACTATATCGGATTTTGATCTCGAGAGCAAGGGGGGTATCGACCTGACCTGCAAAAAGAGAACAAAGGCGGGATCCCTTACCTGCGAGGGATTCATTACCACGTATCATGAGTATTGCGAGAACACATCCATCCACGGAGTCCAATACCTCGGCGAGCGGGAACGACCTATACGGGAGCGCATCTTCTGGCTGTTCGTTTTCCTGATCTCAATATACGGCTGCTCAACCTTAATCCTCAGTGCCTACACCAAGTGGACCGAAACGGTGGGATGCCAATTAAAACGTTAATTTGAAAGCAATTAGTAAAATCAAAAAAAATAAATCACCAGTGATTCTAGTCTTGAAAGAGCTTCTCCATTATTTCATCCATTAAATAATATTCTTTAATTTTTAGCCTGTGATTGTAAGCTTCGCGGAGAAATCGACGCCCGTGTGGAACATCCCGTTTCCAGCGGTCACTGTTTGCTCGGAGACCAAACGAGTGTTAAAGCAGAAAGGTTTGTCGATGTACAATTTCCAATTAGTTTTTTAAAAATAATTTACTTTTATATTATTAAACTCCTTAAAATCTTATCTATCATTAAACTTACTTAAGAACTGCTTTGATTATAGGTAAGGAGACCACCTATGCGGATCTATACAGCCAGTTCAGCGAGGAAATGCGAGCCTCGCGGTTGTTTAAGCCCCAAAATGTTAGTGCTCTGGAGATGGAGGAGTTCCGCACCCTGCTGCACGTGTGCAACACGCAGATCATCGACGAGGACATGCCCCTAATAGCCGGCGACGACCTGGACTACTTCGACGTTTTGGAAAGGATGCTTCCCCAGTTCGATCGGTACTTCTTCTACTGCCGCTGGCTGAGCCGCTTTGGCGAGTGCGAGAAGTTCTTTCGAAAAACTCTAACGGAGGAGGGCATCTGCTATACCTTCAATGGACTGAGGGCCACCGAGATATACCGGGAGGACACCTATCAGTACCAACATAGCGGGGCACCCCTGGAAATGGAAAACATAAGTTCGAGTCACCTGCCCTGGACCCTGGAAACGGGCTATGCGCACGGCAGCGATGTGGAAACCTTTCCGGCGAGGGTTTTGAGTGCTGGAGCGCGATCCGGAATCTTCCTGGCGCTCCAAAGCTTTAAGCAGGAAGTAGACTACGCGTGCCGAGGACCTGTACAGGGATTTAAGGTAGGACTAGCGGATAAATGTGAAATTTGTCATTACGAAAATGGTCAAAATGGTCCACAGATCTGAGTTTGGTTTCCGGTTAAGTTGGACTTATTAAGAAAAGGAAATTAAATTTATAGTATAATAAACTAATAGATTACCGACTCTCAAAGATAACTTAAACTGAAACATTCCATGTCAATATAAATAACACAGTGCAACATGAAAAATGTAACCGCAATTCTGATTTCATGGGCGGAAAGAACGCATCGAAATAAGCTAAAACCCATTTGGGTTTCTCTGGCTTAGCTCGCGTTTACCTTTTATAGCGAGTTAAAGTTTTACATACAAAATTTATTTGTAACGGCCATATCTTGTGAACTGATTAAAATTTCACTATCAAGTCTTCAGTGATTATGTAGCTATGAACCCAAGGAACTAAATTGACAAATGACTCTTGCGCACTTAGCACCTAGTGCAACTAGCGCGTTAAAAAACAAATTTGCCTAATTTTTCGATTTTTAACGCGCTAGGTGTACGTCTTCGCAAGAGTCATTTGTCAATTTAGTTCCTTGGGTTCATAGCTACATAGTCACTGAAGACTTGATAGTGAAATTTTAATCAGTTCACAAGATATGGCCGTTACAAATAAATTTTGTATGTAAAACTTTAACTCGCTATAATAGGTAAACGCGAGCTAAGCCAGAGAAACCCAAATGGGTTTTAGCTTATTTCGATTAGTTCTTTCCGCCAATGAAATCAGAATTGCGGTTACATTTTATAACTCTAAAAATGTTGCACAGTGTAAGTATAGTACATTTATTGTGCAGTGCTATATGTACATACATTCAAAACAATAAATACCTCCACTTAAACAAATTTGAGTCCTTCACTCTCTTCAAAAAAAATATTTTAGCAGGGTTTTCTCTTGCAGTGTGCCGAATAGGAAATTTTCGAGCTGAATTGAGTCCTTGTGAATCCGCGATCCGAACCTACCTTAGAAAACAACTGCTGATACTCCATAGATGATTAATTTGTACAACTATTTAATCAGAAGTATTTAGTATTGTCTTTTAGACTTACACCTTTTAAAAATATAAAGAAGTCAAATGAGTAGTCATTTATATTCTTAACTTTTACAGGTTCTCCTTCATGCCCCTGATGATGTGCCGCAGGTGTCCAAGCAATTCGTCCGGATTCCCATGGGCAAGGAGGTGCTGATCGCGGTGAAGCCTAGCATGATCACCATGTCATCGGGCATCGCCGAGTACCATCCGATTCGGAGACAGTGCTTCCTCAGCCACGAGCGATCGCTGCGCTTCTTCAAGGTGTACACCGAATCAAACTGCCAGCTGGAGTGCCTGGCCAATTTTACGCTGACCAAGTGTGGATGCGTGAAGTTCTCGATGCCAAGGAACATGGATATGCCCGTGTGCGGTGAGGACAAGATCCACTGCTACGACCGAGCGGAAAGGCAGCTGTTGGTCAGGGAGTTTGAACGGGTGAGGGCTCTGAATGCCGGTCGAGAGGACTCGCGAGGCGTGGAATCCGCCTGTAATTGCATGCCCGCTTGCACATCGCTTGTCTACAACACAGAGATCTCACAGGCCAACTTTGATCTGGAGGAAATGCTCCAGGCCGAGGGAGACACCGAGTTCCTGCAGGAATATCCCGGATCCCAGATGTCGCGTCTGTCCATATATTTTAAACAAAGCCAGTTCATCACTTCTAAGCGATCGGAGCTGTACGGCATGACCGAGTTCCTGGCCAATTGTGGTGGTATCTTCGGCTTGTTCATGGGGTTCTCAATTTTGAGCTTGGTGGAGATGATTTACCACTTTACCTTGCGTCTGTTCACCAATCTAAAGCGGCTGGTCAAAGTGCAGTAAGAAACTGTTTCCATTTTGTTTTCATTATTTATTGGCCGCGTACGATGATTTTTATAATTTTTAATATAATTTTATATTTTATTTATAAAAAAAAATGGTATTTATAATATTTATTTTAAATCTGTAAAATCAAATATTTAAAATAATAATATACAAAGTTTATATTTGTCTGGTTACAAACGTGATCTTGCGGTTTAAAAACAATAAAAATATTTAGCACTGAAACACTGAAAACAAAGAGAAACCTAAATATGTTTCAATTTGTAAAATTTTGTTGTACCTGTAAGCACTGGAAACAAAAAAAGCTAGTGTTTGGACTTGAAACCTAAATATGTTTTAATTTGTTATATTTTGTTGTTGCAACTTTTATATATATTTTGCAATAAGATGAGAAAATTTTACAAACTAACTAAAATTGTATGTATTGCCAGAAAAGAAAGCCTCCCTCCCCTATTTTGTAATTTTTTAGCTTATAAAGAAAGTGTCCGTGTCAGTTTAAAAAAAAATTTGACTCGCTGACTTTGTCCGTTGAGCGCGGGGTAGGGTATTCGGCATCACAAAGTCATTTTAAAATCGTTAGTGGGCGATTATGGGTGTTAGAGGGGCGTGGCGCTGGGCTGAAATAAACTTGCGCTGCGTAGAAAGCCCAAGAATATGTGTGGGAAATCTCAACATTCTAGCTTTTGTAGTTTCCGAGATCTCAGCGTTCATACCGACAGACAGACGGACGGACATGGCTAGATCGACTCGGCTAGTGACCCTGGTCAAGAATATATATACTTTATGGGGTCGGAAACGCTTCCTTCTAGCTGTTACACGAATGTTGCACGAATACACTATACCCTTTTACTCTACGGGTATAAAAGGCCGTTTTGCGGTGTTTACTATATCTCTGCTAAAAGTGATCGGACTTACATCTTGTTTTAACATTTCGCTTTTGAAAAAACCCGCCCACGGAAGCTTAACTTTGAATTTTTCTAAAAAAAAAATTTGTTTATTTTTTAAAATCAAAAAAAAAATTAAAGTCAAAATTGAAAATTTTGGGAAGAAGTCGTATACATTCCCATCCAAATACAGCTACTTTTCTAGCCGCTCCGACGACAGCGTCAAATATCTGTCACCACTGTGAGGGCGCTCGCTTGCGCGCCAAAAGCAATCGGCCGCTATCGATACCAGCAGAGTAGTGTTGCCAGCGGCGCCTCAGCAATATTTCAGCGTGTCTGTTCCCTAAAAAATTGCATAAAACGTTGGATAAACGACGCGACGTCCGGAAATTAGTAGAACTGCCACCACCCAGCGACCAGGCGCCGAGAACCAACGGTGACAGCGAGCCCGAGAGTGAAGTGCCCGAAATTGGGACCCTTTGGCAACCCAGCCAGTTGTTCTGCTCTTTTTTAGGCGGCCGCCGTCGCGTGAAGACTGAAGTGAAAATCGTGGTTCCCGCGACTCTCGTGTTTCGTTTCATTTGAACCAGACAGGACAAGATGGCAGCGGATCAGGCTCAGTTCCAGCAGCTCCTGGTGTCCCTGTTGTCCACGGACAACGATGTGCGCCAGCAGGCGGAGGTAAGTCTCTCGTCGACAGGGTTGTGGGGAGGGGGATCGCGAAATCATATTGCCGTCGCCTCGAATTTTCGATGCGCAATTTGCAATTTGCAGTTATGTGCACATAGTACACGGCAGCTGCCATCTATAAGATATTCCCGGGGTTATGGGCATGCGAATCTTTCGGCCGAAATTTCTGACGAATCTGAATCATCGCACAAAACGTGTTTTCGCCCTCCGCTTTGCCTCGGCATTCGCATGTGTGCGAGGGAGAGCGAGCGTCGGGCGACAGACGGTGCGAAGCAGGCAAACAAAGCAAAATCGAATCGAATTGTACAATTTGCATGGCCGCCACATGATTTTCCACTGGAATGGGAATAGTACCCCCGCAAACGGAAACAAAGAGCAGGTGCGAAATCCATGACACACGGTCTGGGAAATGCAATCTGTCGGTTGATAAGGTGCTCGGATTCCGTTGCTTCGTTCCGGCGCCACATGGCACCGCCCCGCCCCGGACCGCCCACCGAACCCCACCCACTCGGCGACCTTGGACAGATGGCTGGCATGGTACCGCTCGCTTCAATTACCTTGGAATACTAGGTTGCCAAAAGCATACGGTCCTTGTACCGGGTTTTGTGCCATTCTTAAAAATAACCTTATCCAAATCCGATATAATCAATGTTGTGAAAAGGGCTCCCTAAATACATTGCATATCACTCGAAAATGATAATTTAAAAAATAATCGGATTCGTAAGGTAAACAATTAAAAACAATATCCTGACTATAATATATATTTTTAAAATTTGTAAGATAATTTTTTACTTAATTGCATCAAACAATAAATATTCTTTGAGCATTCAATTATTTTATTGAAAGATTCGTTTTTTGTTTACAAATCTTTAAAAAGCCGGGGTACATTTTCTATTATACAGCTTCATTTGGAAATACTTAGTTTTAATTCGTTAAAATTTTGACATAAATTGGTAAAGAAAACTAGCTAATGAATAAATAAATATACCTACATATTAACGTTAAATTGCATATTTATCTTATCGATAAGTAACTACAAAATTGTGGTTGTTGTAATCTATTACCTTACTCTTGTGTTACTGTCCATTGAGTTGAATAGGTTACATAGGTATTTTAAAAGTTTTCGATTGCATTTAAAATTTTTCCACATTTATATAGTTTATAAACTAGATTGACAATATTTTTATTTTTTTGGATGTTTAAACTCGTATACTAAACATTAACTTATGACCGTTTTTACCCTACTTTTAAACCCTACTTTAAATTACACCTGCGGGCGAAAGTAAATTTAAGACCACCTTATCAAACCCTATATTCGTGTTTTGTTTTCCTATTCCAGGAAGCGTACAACAACCTGGCAAGGGAGCTGAAGGTGACGCATCTGCTGGGCAACATCCAAAATGGCCAGCAATCGGAGGAGGCGCGCCAGATGGCCGCCGTGCTGCTGCGCCGTCTGTTCACCACCGAGTTCCTGGAGTTCTACAAAGAGGTTGGTTAAAACAACGTTGCGAATCCCTGCCAGAAGCTCTAACTAATATTCCCCGCTTTTAGATTCCCGCTGAATCTCAGAACCAGCTGTTGCAGCAGATCCTTTTGGCCGTGCAGCAGGAGGTAACTCCTCAGCTGAGGCGCAAGATCTGCGAGGTGGTGGCCGAGGTGGCTAGAAATCTGATCGACGAGGACTGCAACAATCAGTGGCCGGACATCCTGCAGTTCCTCTTCCAGTGCGCCAACTCGCCCACGCCCCAGCTGCAGGAATCGGCGCTGAGGATTTTCTCCAGTGTGCCTTCGATTTTCGGAAACCAGGAAGCCCAGTACATCGATCTGATCAAGCAGATGCTGGCCAAGAGCATGGATGCTGGATCCGATCCAGAGGTCCGAGTTCAGGCTGTGCGAGCCGTAGGAGCCTTCATTCTCTACCACGACAAGGAGAAGGAGACGGCCATCTACAAGCACTTCGCCGATATGCTGCCCCGCATGATCCAGATCACTGGGGAGACAATCGAGGTTCAGGACGACCAGAGTCTGCTGAAGCTTCTCATCGAGATGACCGAAAACTGCCCCAAGTTCCTGCGCCCCCAGCTGGAGTTTATTTTCGAGGTCTGCATGAAGGTGTTCAGCTCGCAGGACTTTGAGGACAGCTGGCGACACCTCGTCCTGGAGGTGATGGTCTCGCTTGCCGAGAACGCTCCGGCGATGGTGCGCAAGCGGGCAGACAAGTACATTGTGGCTTTGATCCCACTGATTCTGCATATGATGACCGATTTGGATGAGGACGAGAACTGGTCTACGGCCGATGTGGTCGATGATGACGATCATAGTGACAACAACGTGATCGCCGAGTCGTCGCTGGATCGCCTGGCGTGCGGTTTGGGAGGAAAGGTTGTGCTTCCGCACGTAATGAATGCTCTGCCGGCCATGTTGGGCCACGCTGACTGGAAGCATCGCTTCGCCGCCCTCATGGCCATCTCGGCCATCGGTGAGGGCTGCCACAAGCAGATGGAGGCCATTCTGGACGAGGTCATGACCGGAGTCTTGAACTTCCTGCGGGATCCCCATCCCCGCGTTCGCTACGCCGCTTGCAACGCCATCGGCCAAATGTCCACCGACTTTGCTCCGACCTTCGAGAAAAAGTTCCACAGCCAGGTGAGTTTTGACTCTATAATGATCTGTAAGGCAACTTTTAACAATTTTTAATTGTTTTAATTAAATTATAAAAGTGCCTGTGTTATTGCGTAACTAGTTTGTTATATTTTCATATTTATTACGTATCATTAAAGATATTCAAAATCTTCACATATGCCTAGTAGAGTCCTGCATGAGTACACTTGAATTGACAAACAAGTCAATTTTTTGAAAATAGAGTGAGTGAGTTCAAGGGAGTTAACTTTGATCACTTGTTTCACTTGATCACTCGTAAAAAAAAAGTGATACAAGCACAGAACAAAAGTGAGTGGGAGTGATAAAATTACTAAGCAAATTATTTAGATGATTCGAAATTATTTTATATCAATTCAAGTCAAGCATCAAAACGCCTACTTTCTACAAAGTTACAATGAATTTTCTTATATTTGTTTGAATTTAAGATATAGTGGTCCGATCCGGCTCGCTCCGACATATGTACTACCTGCAGTAGAAAGAAGACTTTCGGGAAAGTTTTATCGCGATAGCTTTAAAAGTGAGAGACTAGAAACGGACAGACGGACATGGCTAGATAGACTCGGCTATTGGTGCTGATCAAGAATATATATACTTTATGTGGTCGGAAACGTCTCCTTCACTGCGTTGCAAACATCTGACCCCTCTACAAGGGTATAAAAAGTGATCCAAGTTAACTGATTTTAAAAATTGACTTTCAAGTACACTCATGCAGGAAGTATATAGTATTGTTTACTTGGCGACTTTTATTTGGTTTACCAAAATAGTTTCGATGCATATCACTGGTTGAATTGTTCTGGAAATCTGTCTACAGTTTGTTACCTTAAATGCGATATTTGCAAACAAACAACCCGAGTATTACATAAACAAGATGTTACTAGTAAACAAACAGTCTGAAAACGTTTTTCAAATATTTATTTTTTTACACGGGTCTTTCTTGTTAGTAATGCAATATTCTTATTTTCACATATACACAAATATGCACTCTTAAACGTTTTTAATATTTTATAATAGAAAACAACAAATACTATTAAAGTACGTTAACAAAACCCGCTTGTTTTCCAGGTCATTCCCGGTCTGTTGGCCCTCTTGGATGACGTAGAGAATCCCCGTGTGCAGGCGCATGCAGGTGCTGCTCTGGTGAACTTCAGCGAGGACTGCCCGAAGAACATATTGACACGCTATCTTGACGGGATTATGACCAAGCTTGAGACCATACTGAACTCGAAGTTCAAGGAGCTCGTGGAGAAGGGAAACAAGTTGGTTTTGGAGCAGGTGGTCACCACTATTGCTTCGGTTGCGGATACCTGCGAGGCAGAATTCGTGGCCTACTACGATCGCCTTATGCCATGCCTTAAGTTCATCATCCAGAATGCAAACTCGGATGATCTTCGCATGCTGCGAGGCAAGACGATCGAGTGCGTAAGCTTGATAGGACTGGCGGTGGGCCGGGAGAAGTTCATAGGCGATGCCGGCGAGATCATGGACATGCTGTTGGTCAATCACACCGAGGGAGGAGAGCTGGCCGATGACGATCCGCAGACTTCCTACCTGATCACCGCCTGGGCCCGCATGTGCAAGATCCTGGGCAAGCAGTTCGAGCAATATCTGCCTGTCGTCATGGGTCCCGTGATGCGAACGGCCACCATGAAGCCCGAGGTGGCGATGCTCGACAACGACGAGGTGGAGGATATCGAGGGCGATGTGGACTGGTCGTTCATTAATCTGGGGGAGCAGCAAAACTTCGCCATTCGCACGGCTGGCATGGATGACAAGGCTTCGGCCTGTGAGATGCTGGTGTGTTATGCCAGGGAACTCAAGGAAGGATTTGCCGAGTACGCCGAGGAGGTGGTGCGACAAATGTTGCCCATGCTCAAGTTCTACTTCCACGACGGCGTCCGCACAGCGGCTGCCGAGTCGTTGCCTTACCTGCTGGACTGCGCCAAGATCAAGGGTCCGCAGTATCTGGAGGGCATGTGGTTGTTCATCTGCCCGGAGCTACTCAAGGTGATCAACACGGAACCGGAGCCGGAAGTCCAGTCGGAGCTGCTCAACTCCTTGGCGAAATGCATTGAGACCCTGGGACCCAATTGCCTTAACGAGGATGCCATGAAGCAGGTTTTGGAGATTATCAACAAGTATGTTGTTGAGCATTTTGAGCGGGCTGACAAGCGCTTGGCTGCCCGCAACGAGGAGGACTACGACGACGGCGTGGAGGAGGAGCTGGCCGAGCAGGACGACACTGATGTCTACATCCTTTCCAAAATCGTGGACATCACACATGCCCTCTTCCAGACGAACAAGGCTCAGTTCTTGCCCGCCTTCGAACAGGTGGCCCCGCACTTTGTCAAGCTACTGGAGCCCAGCCGTCCTGTGGCCGATCGCCAGTGGGGCGTGTGCGTGTTCGATGATCTGATCGGTAGGTTATTTATATTTTTGCTAGAGAATCGAGAACCAGTCGACTGATTAAGTCCGGAAACCTTATTGCCTTAGGCCTAGACGCAAAAGAATCTCTAAAGATTTTATTCGCTCATTACTGAAACGAATCTGGAAACATTCTTTGTTTCTTTAACAGTTAAAAGTTCCATTCAAGTTTAACCTTTCGTATCTGGACTATAAAATAGAAAATTTGGTTCTTTAACAAAGTAAAGATTTCAAGTATGGGGTAGTAATCTACAGCTAGAATCCTATTCGATTTGGTAGCCTTTTGTCTTGGGCTATGAAAAAGTCCAGATTTTGTCGACCTGTGTATTTGTTATTGACAAAGAATTATAAAAATTAACCTTACATTTAAATAATAATAAGAGAGAATTCGAATCGTATAAACATTAGTTAATAGTTAGCGATATACTAACTAACTTTTTGCCTATTTTATTTGCAGAATTCTGTGGCCCTGCTAGTGCTCCCTACCAGCACATCTTCACGCCTGCCCTGCTGCAGTACGTAGGCGACAAGTCGCCGGAGGTGCGTCAGGCTGCTGCCTACGGATGCGGAGTGCTCGGCCAGTTCGGCGGCGAGCAGTTCGCCGTGACGTGCGCCCAGATCATTCCACTGCTGGTTCAGGTCATCAACGACCCAAAGGCCCGCGAAATCGAGAACATCAATGCGACAGAGAACGCGATCTCGGCGTTTGCCAAGATCCTAATGTACAACAAGTCGGCGTTGACCAACGTGGACGAGCTCATCGCGGTGTGGTTCTCTTGGCTGCCGGTCTCCGAGGACCCAGAGGAGGCCACCCACATCTATGGCTACCTGTGCGACCTCATCGAGGGCAACCACCCGGTTATCCTTGGGGCCAACAACTGCAATCTGCCGCGCCTCGTTTCCATCATCGCCGAAGCCTTCTGCACCAAGGTGATAGAGGCCAAGAGCGCGAACGGATCTCGCATGCTCACCATTGTCAAGCAGGTGGAATCCAATCCGGACGTGATGGCCGCCTGTGCCAGCACTCTCAGCCCGGAACAGCAGCAGGCCCTGCAGGACGCCTACCGGGAGTTGGCGGCCGTTCCAACCGCCTAAGGGATCGGAAACACACTTTGCTCCAGACCCAACCAATCCAGTCCTGGCGACCTTGGCAAGGAGGGAAGGATGGAAGCCTCAGCTACTCGTTATCATTACTTTTCATCTGACCGAAATTGTCGTCGCAAATGCATTATAAACTATACGTTTAAAACATACATACACGCATATTTACATTTATGTGTACGATAGAGTTATCCGAGTATATAATTCTATATATATTGTGATTTCAATCAAAAATCTTCTCCCGAAGACTAAAGTCTGCTCCTCGTTAGAATTTGACATGTTGTATGGATCGGATCCCAAGGCCATCGCAATCACACACAAATTCCAATAGATTATTTTCGTTACTCAATTTTTCATATGTTTTACATATGTGTGTATATTCGGCCCACACGGCCGCCTCCTCTCCCTGCAACCAAAAAAAAAAAACAAAAAAACACAGGATGTGAACGTTGTCCGAATCAAACGAAATGTAATTTTGTGCATTCAAAGCAGGATCCACAAAAATATTTAATGGAATAACATCTATTGTATTTTAAAAATGATAAAAAGAACGAAATAAATAACACGTAAAACGACATTTTAATTGGAATGTAGAATGGGTTTTTAATTGCTTTCGCAGTTGTCATTAGGATATGCTCCTTAATGTTTTTCAAGACGGTAGGTACTAATTTGTGAACAATTTTTTAAATATCACGACCTTTTTAATTAGTTTATCGGCAATGAAAGGTTAATTTTAGACTTCCAACGATGTGACTGGAATACAACAATTTGGCCTTGTTTGTGATTTAAAAATTGACTAAGATAGAAATTTTGAATTTATTACAATCAATACTTTTCTCCGCCTTAATTAAATTAAAATTTATACGCTAATAATTCTGTCCGTTGATTATAAAAGCCTTTGCTTCGTTTCATGCCAATAGCTGTAACTCTGTGCACAATTTAATAAGGGAGGATTTAGACGTACGATAAAGTTTTAAATTTAAATTAATGGATATTGGGAAATAAATTGATCTTATTAACGATACTGATACAGGCGGAGGCTATATCGATAGTACGAAACCTTAAAAAAGGTAATACTCTCTGCAAGGCTATAAAAACTAAAAATAACGGAAAATCAAATTCAAAAAGAACTTCCAAAACGAAATGGCAACTCTGTGTCGAAGAAGAAGAGCAACAATAGTAAACGTGCAAAGGTCTCCTAAACAGCTGATACGAATCGCGAAGAAAAATAAGCCAAGCAAAACAAAAATGTGAAAATCTCAGAACATTCCACGACTCGAATAAGAAAACATTTTCTGATAAGTTATTAACGAATTTATGTTTCGGTAAAAATCTACATACCTACATATTCACTTGAAGGCGAACCGGATGAACTATTAAATACATACATAAGTACTATGCAATAGCCAAACGAAATCAATGACGAAATATTGTATTAGAAGTGAGCGACCATTGTTTTGCTGACTTAGTGATGACTTAGTGGGCAAAGTGCACCCTGATCTAAATTATTGGCACCGACTTTCGCCGCGAATCTCATTCAGATTTAACCCAAAGGTGAGTGCAACAGGTGGGCGGGAAAAATCCGCTTGGAAGGCAGGAAAGCGGAAGCAATTTCGTTGGCCACAATTTAATTTCGAGCAGCTGCCTGACTCAATTTTGGGAAGTGAGAAAAAAGATTCTATTTGCTGACCAATTTCATGACGCATTATGTCTACAAAGGCGTCCCTTTTAGTCTTATTTGGTCGCCAGCCACGTTAGGATGAATCTCTGCCATCAAGTGGGTTTCTTTCAAAATCTAGAAAATTCTAAAGGTTCATACCAGTTACAAATGCCGAAAAGTCACTCTAAAACTCTTCTTTCGGCACATATATTTTGGAGTTTTTATTTTGAAAATTATCCCCGTTAAAAAAGTATGGGTTTCATATAATATCTAGAAAATTATTCTAAAACTTTCGTCATTAATATTTTAGAGAACTCTATATTAAATACATTAAAAACTGTCTCCTTTAAAATATTAAAACCATTATTACAACTTAATAGGGAATAAGTATTGTGTATTTTAACACCATTTTTTACGTTTCTGGTTTAGAAATCCAAGTCTATCGCTTCGTTTATCTTCCTTAGATATTCAACGCAGTAATGGCGGAGGAGAACGAGTTCCTGAACGCCTACGCCAGCATTAAAACAGCGTATAAGGCAGCCATGACTCAGGTGGAGCTGGCCGTTAAGCATGAGGAGCAGGAATCCCCAGGACAGGCCATTGAGGCCTACGAGCTCGCCCTGAAAATGATGGAGGACACTTTCGCAATTCCAGTAGGTCTTCCCGAGGAGATAGAAGCCGTGCAGACCGAGTGGAACGACGCCTGCGCCTTGATCCAGAAACTGAAGAGCGCCAAAACGGAAGTCACCTACCGTCTAAAGGTTTTGCGGTCCCAGAACCAACCCATTGACGATGAAGCCCTGGAGGCCGTAGAGGAAAGTCGCACTGAAGTGGATGCAAATAGGCCGCTGCTGGCGGAGAACCCCTCCACGCATTATGATATATCCAATGCTAGTGGAAGACCAAAGACATACAGGGAACTGGCTGACGGTTTGAGGAGGCTTTTAGCTGTTCCCGACTCCCATGCCCTGCTGGATGAGCTCTTCCGCGCCCAGGTGAAAATGTACCGCATTGAAGCGAATGGAACTGTTACTTCTATAAGTGGATCGTCCACCATGTCGCTGGTGATGTGCACCGTGGGTGGTGAATGGAAGTACCTCAGCGGTATTTACTTCATCCAGTGCTCCATGCCGAATGAGGAGACCGGAATGATTTGGCTCTACCCTCTGGTTCCCTCGATCACCAACTGCTATCGCACAGAGTATGGAGCCTTCATCTTTCCGGATATGGAGTGCCAGCAGCCAGGGAATGCCTTTGGTTTAATGCTGACCAAGGATGGCCAGCCTTCGTTGGACTCTGATGAAGCACTGCAGGACTTGCAGCGGTTCTTCCTCGACCTGTTGGAGGCTGTCCTCGCTGGCACGGTGGAGCAGCTGAAATCTCCGACCTCCCAACGTGCTGGCCTCGCTTCAGATTCCGCTTCCGGTTCGGAGCAGGTGTCCAGACACATTGTGAGTGCGGCCGATTTCATTGCTCGAAATCTGGTTAGGGGCGCCGAAAAGACGGGAGGCCTCATGCTCAGAAGTACGCCGTATCTCATTTCCAAAATGACACCCGCCGCTGCCGATGCCCCCACTCAGGTGCCCAGCTCCGTACAGACTTCAGGTTCGTGAAGTTCAAACGATAAAATCACATTTAAAAATAAAAGAAATTTACCTTTATTTTCCCTGCAGTTGAGGTGGCTCAGAAAGTGACGCATGCCGCGGCCGGAATGACAGGCTGGATAGCCGGAAAGGTGGGCACTGCCTCGATGGCAGTGGGTCGCTACCTGGCTCCTCACATCCAAGAGCAGGGGTCCAAGTTGCTGCAGAAAGGATTCGGCTACGACAGCAGCGAGGCGAATAGCACCATGGAGGGAGCCATGACCATAGCAGCAGGAGCCGTGGAGGGTGTCAGCACGGTGTTCGATGGCCTCGAAACATCGGCCAAGATCCTGGGTTGCAGCCTCAGCCAAAATTCGGTCAAAATAATCGAACACAAGTGAGTTACAAACTATTTTTTTGAAGACATTTGTTTAGCCTTTCGTAGAATACTGTCTATGAGTTTTGAATTAAAAAAAAAAACAATATTATTTAGAAAACATTTTTGTTTTGCTTCCAATTTTGAAAAAATGCTTAGAAACCCATCCGTAAAAATAACTAAATATAATAAGTAGACATCGGAAAAATTACAAATATTGTAAATGTGATCAATTCACGTCAAACGTGACACGTAATTTGGGGTTATCTCTGAAAAAATTCTAAAAACCTAAAAAAATTTGTTTTTTTTTATAGTGAATTGAAATTTACATATATAACAACCCGGATCCGTCATTTTACTTTTGTAACATGAAAAAAACATTTTTTTTTTCATTTTAAAATTTTAAATATGTCATATAATTTGTCATTTGTTATACCCCTCAGGGCTAGTACTCAACCCAACAAAAAGTCGTCCAAAACAAAAACTTTATATGAAACAAAATTTTTTGACGTTGTTTTTCATATGAAGTTATTTGTTTTGGACGACTTTTTGTTGGGTTGAGTACTAAGCCTTACTCAAAAAGAAATAGTATGTATAGGAAGGAGTAAGCGTTTTCGACCTTATGAAAGTCATACATACATATATTTTTAATCATGATCACTAGCAGAGTCGATTTAGCTATGTCCATTTGTCTGTCTGTCCGTATGAACACTGTGATATCTGAAACTAAAATATCTAGGAACCTAAATATAGCTAGAAAGATCAAGTTTACTATTTAAGTATCGTAATTTTTTCAGATATGGTCAACCGGCAGGAAATCTGGCTAGTGGCACTTTTGACACTGTAGGCAATGTTTTCGTGGTCAGCCAGAACGTGAACTACATTACTCCCAAAGGCATTGCCAAGAAAATGGTCAAACGAACTGGAGAAGCCGTGGTCAGCGACTACAAACGAGACTTACGCAAATCGGAATCTCATTACATAAATGCCGGTGCACTCTATCCGGATCTTCGGGCCTTAAAGGAATGAGTGTCCTTACCAAAAATAATATTAATACTTTGTAATCGTTGATATTGATATACTGATATAATATTTATGGCTTATTCATCAGAGACTTTTATTTGTTTATTTGTTCTCTGGATAAGAGGTTCATTAAAGATCCTAAAACATATTTTCACTCAAAAAATAAAAAAATTTTTGATGGTTTATCATAAAAAATTTGGGTTTGATTTGCTTACCATTTTAAGCCCAGATGGCAAAAATGTTGTACACATTAATTTCATTATTTCTCTGACAGTTTATTTGACAACTAAATGATAAAGTAGACCGATTTGTATTGAATTTATTTCTGAAAAATAAGAATATCCCTAATAGTATAAGATAATCAGGGTATTCCCCATACTGTTAAATTGCTGACTTGTTGAATTTTGGTCAGCTGCATAAAAAAATTCACTTTCAGAAATTTAAGTAATTGAACAGCCTCGAAAAATGTTAAAAATGTTGTTAAGTCGTTGAAAACCAGAGTTGTCACCTTCTTTTACTAAAAGTCATGGAAACTGCAACATTTTACTATCATAATAGTCAGAATATGTCAAAAACAGCGAAGATTTTATTTGTTTCCCAATATTTTCCGATCGTTTCAATAAAAGCTATGTGATATAGTCGTCCGATTTTGATGAAATTAAATTCGAAATTCAGAATTAATTACAAAATGTTATTTCCAAGCGTAGGAGGTTGTATGTTAAAAAACACCAAAGATATTTATTTTACATATTTTTCCTATGGGAGCAATAAGATATAGTTGTCCGATCCGGCTGGATCCGACCTCTACCCCACCTGCAAAAGAAAGAAGCCTTTTGGGAAAGTTTAAAACTAAGAGACTAGTTGTTAGTGCTAAGTTTACAGAGCCCTGTTGGCACAAGAGAGCATACGCCACCTTGCCACATTGCAACCGTTATGTTACGTGTGCTTACGTTCCTGACAGGTCCAAGATATTCAATAGAGGGCGCTGTGCCCGTTTGAAACTTCTGCTACTCCGCTCTCGCTCAGCTCTTACGTTATTGCACTTCACGTTGTGACGTTACGCCAAGTATTGAATTTAATTGAAACCAACTTTACTTGCCAATGAAGTCGGCAGATCATTTTAAAAAGCCTAAGCTGTGGAACTTTTACTAGGAAAACAGCACTAATTCGTTCGTCCAAGTAAGCGCGAACACTTAACAGGGCTGTTATAGATGGCGCTTTAGGTCGCTGGCAGGCCCAAAAAATTCAACAGAGGGCGCCTTCTGTCGTCGGTAAAAATTGAGCATACGCACCTTGGCCACATTGGCCGCAGAGCCCGTTTTCCGCTCTCACTCACCGTTTTCTTACTCTCTGACGCTGCGCTCTCGCTCTCACTCAGATCTTACGTTATATTGCACTTTACGTTGTGACGTTATGCCGAAATTGAAATGGTAAAAACCGAGCATTCAATTTTTTCATTCTCGGGCGCGATTACCTTACTCGGACTAAGCAGGTAGAGCATATTTTCGAGTCGCCGCGCCAATACATATAACCGAGCTTTTTCGCGATTCGGCCCTTGGCACGGTAAATAACTTGGTCTCAGAGTCTTGGATTTTATTTTGCGTACCAAGCACCGCGTTTTAAGCTAAACTTCGCTGGAAGTGGTGTGAATTGAAAATTGCACCTGTGCTGTGGAAAATTGTGAATTCAGTCGCGGTCTAATTATCACTTGTGTGTGTGGGTGAGGGGTGCCTGTTTGTGTGTGAGTGAGTTAGTGCCGTTTTATTTTCGATTTTGACGGGAAATTTAAACGGAAAAGTGATTAATATTCACCAACTTAAGTTGTTGCACTTACGACACAAAAAGAGTTTTTCTCGCTTAAAAATACCAGTTTAAACAACTACCGATGCAACAACAACAACTGCCGTAAACGGCCAACAGCAGAAGCAACAGCAACAACAACAACAGTTCTAACAACAGTACACAAACAAACACGTTTTCCGTTTTATTTTTCTGCCTCGCGTTTGCTGGTGTGTGTGGGTGTGGTGCTGTGTGTGTGTACGTGTTGCTCGTCTGAGTAAAGAAATTTCTAATGATTTTTGTTTGTGTTCCCGAAAAGCAACTCCGAACAACAACATCTACAATTGGACTCCACAGTGCCTGTCCTATGATTTGTTAAAATTATTTGCATGTCCTTATTTTATTTTTGCTTAAAAACTCCTGCAGCCGCAATAATAATTTAATAAGGAAAAAGCAACGCCAATTGTACCGATCGGAGCTTCGAATTTGGTTGGTGAGTATTTTTATTGTGTAAAAAATGAATGAAAAAAGATTACAAATTTTAAATTATACAAACTGGACTGCAGATTAAATTATGTATTTAAAATTAAATTAATATTATGGATTACAATTTTTTTTCTTTTTGATTTCACTTGAATCAAATTTTAAGTACATAAATACAGAATTATTCAAAAATGTTTTGCGAAATAAATACTCAGGAATTTTTTTTTTGGGTGTGGTAAGTTTATACGCTTACATCGACTTTATATTCATTGTTTTCAGTGTGTCTTTTCCAACAGTGGTCAGAAACATATTTTTTTTATTATAAAGTTCATTCTTAAATACGGCAAACATATTTTAAAAAATAATGATAATATCCAATATTCAGAATATAACATAAAAAAAATATTTTAAGAGAAAAATTAAAGAAAATTGCGCTACGAAACTTGGTGAAAAATTCCCCTCAAAATAGTTAACCACATTGAAAACTCTGAACTAGATTTGGTTTCACTTGGGTAAAATAGTTTTCAGTTGCTAGTTAATCTTTATTAAACAACTCGTTCTGTTGTATCCATTTACCTGATGCAACAATAGCAGCAAAATATCATTTACTGTGTTTATACGATGCCGAATTCACGCTATCATTTCACGCTTTCGGCCGATTCGTGCTTGTATAAACGCCATTTCGCGAATTCGGCAACACACGAAAGTTGACTATGATTTCAGCCCAAAAGCGTGATTTGGTAATAAGTAATCTGGTAACTCTTTAAAAACTGATCGACGTTGCCAGATCGCTAGAAATTGAAGGCCTTTTATAGGCCATTTCTCTAATCAGTGGTATTAAGAATTAGATATTTTTACCGGTCCGGCATCCCTATCAGATGAGAGTAAATAAAAGCATGAATTCTCGGCTGTCGTATAAACAGGGGCAATTTCTATATCGCGCTTTCAAGAAATCGTGATTGCTATCGTATAAACATAGTAATTGTGATAACCAGGACTAGGGAGATTACCTCAAGTAACATTCTTGGACCTGGGTCTGGACGTTCAGTTGCATCGGAAGTCGGGGAGGTGGTGGTCTGGAGTGAAGTGTTTAAGCTGGAGTTGTACATTCCTTCGGTTCCTCCACAGATCTTGTGGCCCTAGCATTTCGAGGTTCCAACCTTTTATATTTGACAGTCGTGTTTTTAAAACATTTTCACACCCTTGAAATACGTCCCTGTGCTGTCTTTGTTAGTCTTATTTTCCCCCAACATTTTCACTTTGCATTCCGAAATTTTCTCACCGCTCAGACTTGCAGCATTAAGGCGTCCAGTCATTTATTTGATATCATCATAATCGTCATCACCTGAGCTACAGGTTTTTAGCTAATAAGGCAATGGAAAAGAGACGAAGAAAAAATTGCTAAATTATAATCGAAAGAAAAAATCCATCATTGGAAAGTTGATTTGATTGCATTTGCGGAATGCAGTTGCCAGGGTTGCCTAGTTGTGCGACAGGGCGACGCATTTTTCGCTTGCCGTGCACTTGGCTAATATTTCAGGCTTCATGCTTCATTTGCGTTTCGGGCGGCCCAAGTCAACTTTCGGAACAAATCCGCCGGCAAGGGCGATTGGATTCGATTGGATCGGATCGGATGGGATGGTATAGTGTGGATTGAATTGGATGTGATGGGATAGGTGAAAGGCATTCGAAAGGGCTGAATTGAATTATACACTCGTATGTACCCGTCAGCAGTCTCTAAGCTCAGTTGTGTGGAGTTTATAACTTCCGTTTTCAATAGCTTTAATTTATTTTTGTGAATATTAAAAAAAACTATATTTTTAACATTAAAAAGAATATATATAATAATGTTATATCCTTAAAGTTCCCAGCTGTAGAAGATTTCCTGTAAAAAGTAAAAGATACAATTTTGTTTAGTGCAGGGAAGTGGTTTTCTTTCAATTGTACCACCCACAAAAAAAGTAATAAATCGCTCCGGGTGACAGTGGTAGTAGTTGGCAACGTTTTGCTGCAATTGGCAGGGCGAGCGGAAAATGTTGCGTGGGAGTAGAGACGTGCGGGGGCATTACACAATTATCCAAAGCATTTCCCCAAGAAAATGAAATTTTTCAGCTCGCTCACATGAAAATCAATTCCTTCCCACCCTACTCACCCCCACTACACAAAAACAAATTTTAAAAGCGAATATGATTATGGTAAATTAAAAATTTTTTTTTATATATTTCGGTTCATTTCCATTTACTCTTTAGGAAATATCATGAAATACAAATAAAGTAGTTATATACAGAATTTTATTATTATGCTTATTAATTATTTAAGTATAATGTGACGATAATTACAATTTCCATTTTCAACTCGTTATAAACAACATAAAACTACAAATATTTTGAAAGCAATTATTATTCATGAATTGAAGAAAAGTATTATTTCCAAGTGTACTTTTCTCTTTTCTTGACGTTGGTTATATTTTCCTAACCGTCTGTTTTTCCCCGTGTCTTTCCGCTGTTGCTGTTTTGTTTATGTTTTTCCCATCTTATTGTTTTTGCGCGCCTCGTGCGTCAATTTATGTGAGTTCAGTTCGCCTGCAAGACGGAAGCGCTTCTTAATGATACAAATAATAGTAGCTGTAGCGGCAGCTGGAAAAACTGAGGAAAAAAGGGTGTCCCGGCCGCTTTTTGCATTTTCCTACGCCACCCCTGAAAACTCCCGTGGAAAATTGGCGCCGCCGCAACTGCCCAAATGCCGTCGCTGCTCAAAACTTGTTTGCCGCATAATTTCCAAAGTTGCAATTTTCATTTTTTATGGCCATTTGTCTTGGAGTTGTTTTTGTCTGTT